CCTCAGTTTATTCCTATATACATTGCTAACTCTTGTGAAGTGACTGTGAAGTATATGTGGAAGGATGAGGAGGAGCCACGTACCAGAACCAGAGATGTAATTAACTGTTCTCACTTCATAACCCCTAATGAGAGATTTATGAAGGATGGTGAGCAGCTGCTAGCAAATGGCTTTTGGTATGATGGAAACAAGTATGACAAGCTAGAGGATATTCCAGATATTAATGACAAGGACACTTTGGAGATCACAGCTGCATAAGGTAGCCAATATCATAAATAGTACTTATGAATTGAGAGGAATAGCATATCATCTACTAGTTGGTAGGGACATTGGCAGGAATCAGTTTATTTTAAATAAATAGGTTTTATATGGAAATAAGTATACTATAAAAAAAACAGCTGGTTCGTCGACCAAATTACTAAGAGTCCACCAAAGTGGTTGTAAAATTATGACAAAAAAAGTTGCTCCATGTGAGGATCGAACTCACGACCTTCAGATTATGAGACTGACGCTCTAACCAAACTGAGCCAATGAAGCCTGCCGATAACGACACATTTGCCGCTATAGCCGTTGGTTACAATCTAAGATTAAACCACTTCAATAATTGAACTCTAGCATTTGGTTAAAAACCGCCGTTGCATAAAAACATTAATTTGCTTCTCTTTTGCTGGAAATCGCAAGCAATAAGCGTGATATTCCTTATGCCACCAGGGCTATTTCCATATGGGTTGGATGCTTTTACCCGCTGTAAGCATAGCTCTTTCTGTATTCAAGATTGCCAGCTTGCTTAGCTTTTGCACTTTCAAGCAAACCGCACCATAGGGATGCAGTCAGCAACTGGGCTAGCAGTATTGTGTGACGCAAAGCAAGCATCTCACAAAGTAGGCGCTTCATTATACTAAAAATACATGAGTGGGCTATTACTGCTTCGTAAGCACGCTGATTATTTTTAAAAGCGACAATATCAAATAATGCAAGTGATAGCAAAAGGGTGACGTTGCCAAGTTTTCTTGCATCATCACAAAAGTACAGTTCCTCAGCTTGTCTTTCCCTCTATTTTCCAATAATTTGGTTTTGAAATGAGAAGCTTACCGTTGTTTCTGGGGTGCACATGCTTGGTGCTTACACAGCTAGCGAATGCTGCTGGTTCTCGACGCGTTGCTGTTGTTGGTGCTGGAGCTGCGGGTTCGTCTGCGGCATACTTTATCCAAGAAGAACTGCTAGCTCACGGTGAGCAACCGGCGGAAATCCATGTTTTTGAACGCAGTGATCTTGTGGGTGGACGTGCGCGTGTAGGCACAGTCGAGTACAACAACAACACGCTGTTTTTTGAACAGGGAGCATCAATGTTTATCTCGAAAAACTTTCATTTAATGGAGATGGCAAGCAGGTTTAACTTGACGTTGTGTAAGCATCCATGCACCTATGCCAAGGGTCACAAAGACGATGCCAAAGTAAAACTACTTGAATCATCGCTTGGAAGCTACGGAATCTGGGATCCAGAGGATTCACATGGCAGCGGCCGATGGATTGTTGGACCTGGCAGCGACTGGCGTATTGTAAATGTGCTAAAGGCACTGTGGCGATATAGCGGACCAGGAGACCATAGCCATGTACAAAAGCGTACCAAAACTGCAGTAGACGAGTTCCTTCAATCATACAAGGCGTTCAATGACACTAGTGCTATATTTTCCACATGGGATGAATACCTGAGTGACAAGCCGCTATTGCAGTCGTCCTTGTATTACAGCGCCTATGAGTATTATTTGAGCGCCAATGAAGGTGTGCGGCGGAGATTTCTGGAGGAAGTAGTGTCACTGGCCACACGAGTAAACTACATGCAGGATATTGACAAAGTGAACTCGCTGGGTGCCCACATATCAATGGCGGCTGGGTCGGATGTTGCATACTCTATTGCTGGCGGAAACTACCAGATATTTGAAAACATGCTGGCCAGCTCGGAATCTCACTTGCATTTGAACACTAGTATCACCGAAATTCGCCGCAAAAATACTGGAAAGTATACAATATTGACACGACCCAGCAATGAGCATGACGACTTTGACTCTGTGATTATTGCCGCACCTTTGTCGCTGGCAAACATAAGCATTCCTGATAGCAAGTACCAAGACCGTACCGAGTATGTGCACATGTATGTAACCTTTGCTATTGGCAAGCTGCGAAGTGATCTGTTTCCAAAAGGAAAAATACCACGGCTTGTAGTTACGCCTTACAAGACTACCAAACCATTCAACTGCCTTTCTATTCTCGCCTGTTTGCATGCAGAACCACAAAGCAGCCACCAATGCCGAGATGGACCGGTGCTAGTAAAGATGTTTTCACACGAGCAAGTAGATTTGAAGGCTATTTTCACAGATGTAGAGTGGCATCACGAACAAGAATGGCACTCATATCCCAAGCTAAAGCCTCTTAATGCTGGATTTGTACAGCAAGACCCCCAGTCTACTGCATACTATTTGCACCGCTCAACGCCACCTCCCATTATACTGGATCGTAGCAATGGCAGCGATGGAATATACTATATCAACGGCATGGAAGCGCTGTTTAGTACAATGGAATCGCAGACGGTTGCAGCTAAAAATGTCGTCCGATTAGCTCTGTTTGGCGCTTCTAATTAGCTGTTTATTCAATGAAGCTGCTGATAGCGAATGTAGACGTTGGAATATAAAAGATCTATAACTTCGTTTTTGGCATCGTCAAGCGTCCCGCATGGCATTGGCCCCCCGTTGACAAACTCTTTCGAAGTCTCTACTATTCTGCTGCTAAGGTTTATCTCCCATGGTGCTCTCGGAAGAATAAACGTTTTGACAATTGCCACAAGCTTTTCACGCAGCTCTTCTGGAACGGGAGTTGAATAGGTAATTCCATACTGCGGAAATGCGTGTGCTATTGTTTCGATGATGCCTGTATCAAGGCTGGTCAGATCCTCAGCAGCGCGTCTATACGCTATGCTTTCTTCGTCGGTTGTGGCAGTGGTATCTGTGCTTGTGTGCTGGCTGTAGTTGCTGCTAGACCGGTGAATTGACAACAGCGCCTGGCTGAAATGTTTACGCAGCCGTGTCATTCGATTAAACTGCTGACTATTTGGTCGAGAGAAAGAGCTGTGTGGTTCTGATTGCTGCGATGAAGTTTGGTGGTTTGCTTCGAATTGCCTAGAAGCGACTGCCGCGGAGTCAGCTTCAGTAATAACTATCGACGGCACAGCAGCAGATATAGAATTACCCGTCTCAGCACGGTAGTGGTTGTTGTTATCCTGACTCGCTCCTCCGGAGACAAGGCTGCAGTAAATACACAGCTTGAATGCCAGGTACACGTCTAGAAATGACATAAGCTCAGCGCACAAGCATCGTTCGGCAAACCTCTCAATCTTGTGGTGCTCGTGCAAGTTTTGTAAGGCAAGCAAAAACGACTGCTTGCTGGTATGCGGAACCGTAAATCTACTGTCGCTGGTGCTTCCTAGAAAACTAAAAACCTCAGTATCATTGCGTCCCTGCTGCTGCATTCTGCGAAACCGTATGGAATGAATAGTCGGAATGGTTACAAAGCTCGTATGAGCAATTATAAGCTGAATCATATATACAACCACTGGGGATATCTGGTGGTTACCCCAGTGAGGATTTAGTCGCCATACAACCGTTGCTATCCATGCAAGTATACCCATAACAAAAGAAAACGCCATGGCCTTTTGGATCCCATATGCATCCTCATAGCTCCAAATAATAACCGTGTACACGGGGCAGATTAACACGTTGAATATCCCCGAAAACACCAGCAATGGTATAAAAACGACACCACCAAAGCAGTTGTAGTATACGTGCTTCAAGCTCATGTGCGAGTATAGCGATGTCATCAACGCCAAAACGCCAATCAAGAACAAAGAGTAAATTGCCATAGCCGCAACACAAAATCGGTTGGAGAGCGCACGCTTTGCCCACAATACACGGCGAGAGCTAGATCGGGTAGTTTCAAACGCCCTTTGCGATGAGCTGTCGTCAGGCTGTGGCGGAATTTGCGAGTTCGTGTGTACATCGGATGGCGTGGCTATGCTATGTCCTGCAATTAATGATAGCGTAGAATCTCTGTTGCTTCTGGACTGCCGCTCATTGCTCAATCCGCTCCGTTGAGGTGTAGCATTCCAAAACTCTTGATGTGCTGTTTGCCGCATGTAGTTCAGATACTCAAGCATATTGTCAGGCGTAACTGGGTTTATCCTAATGTGCTCAGATATACTTTTGTGTGTGCGGGCGATTACATAGTACCGGATCATATAAATCAGATAAGTAAACGTCCAAGTATTATAGAAAAAGAATGACAGCCACACATCTAAAAAGCACGGATAGTTTGTTGTTATTCCACGAATCATCGCATTGCAAGTAAACGTCAACACGCAAACCATGTGGCATGAAAGAAGAACTAGGGAGCGTTCCAGTAGAGCTTGGTCATGTAAAACTAAAGCTCGGTATAGAAATGCTGCAAAGGTGCTCACAAAATAGGTCATAAAGACGCAAAAGAGAGGTATAAATGCTATTCTATATGTCGGAGCTGCATGACTGATACGCCCGTCGCTATAGAAAACCGCCATTTGCTGTACAAAATTATGAGCAGGTTAAAAACGGTTAAAGTTCACGACGTAAAAGGGTTTAAAAGCTGTATGCCATGGTAAAGTTTAAAAAAAAAACGACAAAACAACAGCTTGTTCCTTAACGAACCAGACTGCTGTCCGATCTATATTGCTTCAAGCGCATAGTTTCTGTTTGAAAAAAATAGAATCTAGAACCTAGTTTGTAGATTGGGAAGACGAAGATACACATTACTGTACAATAGATCCAGCACCTCATCCTTGGCCTTGTCAAGCGTGGCTAGTGGCAGTTGGCTGCCTGACAAAAATGATTTGCATGTGGCAACGACGGCATTATTGGCGTTAATTGCCAGTATAGAATCGGGAAGAACAAACGTCCGTATTACGGTTGAAACAGTATCTCGAAGCTCTTCGGGCAGAGCGGTCGTCTCGTCGATTCCATTATGAGGAAATGCATGTTGAAGCGTCTCAACCATTCCTAAAGAATAGCTATGGGGCTCAGGAGGATTCGCACTGTCTCTGTCTACAAAGCGCCCCTCAGCTGCCATCGAAGAGGTGGGGCTCTTGCCTAGATGTCGCTTAATAAAACAAGGTGCTGTAAGCGCGCTGCGCAGTTTTTTGGGCCGCATATACGAGGGCGAGCTGTTTGAGACTGCCGGTAAGCTCTGTAGTGCATCTGCACTTTGTGAAGTCTGATTTAGCATCACATTCACCACTGCGTTCTTTAGAGACACGTACACATTCAGAAACAATATCAGCTCTTCACAAAAGCATGCCTGTGCGTGCTGCTTAATCTGCTTGTACTTGGCACCATCCTGCATTCCCTCCAAGAATGCCTGCTTGCTATTGCCATAGTGTCTATGGCGAATAGCAGTCGACCAGATCCACCTACTTTCTGTCGCTGTCATTTCTGCGGTTGAGCCTTTACTTCGCGATG